GTGACGTCGTCTTCACGTAGTGCAACTCCACTTCTCCCGAGGTTACCATGCTCCTCACCCAATGCCACTTCACCTTCATGTGCTTGATAAAGCCATGAGGAACCGGGTTCTTAGCCAATTCAATAGCACCCTGGCTATCACAACAGAGTGGGGTAGGTCCTTGCAACTCCTCCTCCAATTCAGCTAGCAAACGCCGCTGCCACACAACCTCTCTTATGGCACGAAAGAGTGCCATGTACTCGGACTCCACCGAGCTCAATGCTTGGTCCACTTGCTTCTTGCTCTCCCAAGCGGTTGGGCCTCCACCAACACAGCAGATAAAGCCTCCCACACTTGTCATATCCTCTGGTTCTCATGCCCAAGATGCATCAGAGAAGGCGGTGAGAAAGAGCCTCCCGGGTTTGACTCCATCCGCACCCTTTTGACGCCTTTGTGCCGCCGCGGAGTATTGCAGTCCAACAGTTGCTGTTTGGCCAAGGTACTTAGCCACCCTCTCAACAGCTGCTACCTGCTCTTCATCAGGGCATTGGACAACCCTAGCCAGCTGCCCAGTAGCAAAGGCTGCATCCGGCCTTGTGTGAACGGCCGCATACATGAGGCTGCCCACCAAGGAATGAAAACGGCGCCTCTCCCCATCACCAACACTTTCCTCCGCTGGTCCTTTCACACACTTGAACCCTGAGGGTAGAGGAGTTGCCACATGACCTTCACTCTTCCCAAAGTTTGCATCCAAGGCCTCCAAGTACTTCTATTGATGCACTCGTATCCACCGCTTCTCCACATCTCGCTCAATATGAAGCCCAAGGTAGTAGTTGACGTCACCAATGGTCTTGCACTTGAACTTGTCTTGAAGCTTCAGCATCACCTCCTTTATGAGGTCAGAGGAGGGTGGGAAAATGAGGATGTCATCCACATAAACCACCATGAAGCTCCTCTGCTCCCCCTCGCCAAGCATGAACAATGATTGATCGGCCGTTGAGGGAGTGAAGCCGATCGCCTCCAAGACTTCCCGCAGCTTTATGTACCATTGCCTAGGGGCTTTCTTGAGGCCATAGAGTGCGTTATTCAGCTTCCACACTCTGCCACTCCCATCATTGTACCCCTCTGGCTGCTCCATGTAGGTCTCTTCCTCCAAAACGCCGTTGAGGAAGGTCGTTACTATATCCATTTGCTTCACCACCCATCCCTTGATGGCCGACGTGGCGAAGAGGGTTCGAAGGGTTGTACCCTTCACCACAGGGGCATACAATTCATTGTAGTCCTTCTTCTCTTGCTGCTGATACCCCTTGGCTACAAGTCTGCTCTTGTAGCGCTCAATGTTGCCGTCGGCGTCGGTCTTGCGCTTTAAGAGCCACTTGGAAGAAATCGCCTTACGCCCCGGAGGTAGGTTCACCAAGGCCTCCAAGTACTTCCTCCTATTGGAAGCAAATCTGGTCGGTTCCCGCGAGCACTTGTAGCACGAGGCGGAAGTGAAGGTGCACGCTCATCACCTTGCTGCACCTCCTCCTCCTCTTCTCCCCCATTCATTTGAGGAGATTGCCTTGTGATAGTGCTGCTGCTACTCAGCTCTAAGGGCAGCTCCACATGCTCCAAGCCGGTACTCTTCACCTCTCCAAGCCGCACACCAATCTTTGCTTGGTTCTCCGCCTTCCACTCCTTGTACGGTAGGTTCTCCATGAACTTGCAATCTCTGCTCACCAGGAACTTCTTAGTAAATGGGTCCCGAAGAAGCCATCCCTTGCTGTTTTGAGCCATGCCCAGGTGCACGGCCCATGTTGCTGTTGTGTGATGTCATCATATGCTATCACATTCTGTCTGCCTCCCATCCATTGTTTCAATTCGCATGTGTGGTTTGAATGTGTACAAAGATTTATGTGTGGTGTATTCTGGAGTTTGGGAATGTGTTTTTGTATTATTCTGTCTACGCAGGTATTTGTGGTGATAGATCTTGAGAAGATCTTTCCAACGCAACAAGAAGTGCTTCAATCGGAGCAAGAACGCGAAAGCTATGAAGATTCAAAGTTTATGAGCTTGCGTTACAATTGCGGCGGTTACAAAGTGAAGTTGTGGGGTGACTCTATATGGAGTTGGGACCATTAGGGATTGGACAAATTCGTCACTCTACTGTAGCAGCTGCAATTTGGTTGGGAACAACCAAGCTAGGTTGGCAAGGATGGCCAACTTGGATGGATTGGTTGGGAAGGGACAAATGTCAAATTTGGGGTTCCTATAGGGAGGAAATCTTTGTGCTTATGGGGTTTCCTTGGTTGGGGACTCTCTTGGGACCTTCCCTCTCATCCATCTCTTCCCCTTCCAACCTTTCTCTTGCTCCTCTAATTTCTTGTGAGATTCTTGAACTTTGATTGAACTTTTGAGATTGAGTTAAGTTCTCCTCCTACAGCTTACCCCCCAGTGCGTCGAAAGACATAGCGTCGCGAATACTCCATCAATCGACGTGACTCAAATTGTGAACAGTAGGTAAAATTACAAGCTACATCATATCCGAGTTTCGCGACATTCCAAGGCTAGTGTTTTGTCGACGACGTTTCTTGTGGAGACGATTTTTCTGTCCAGAATTGCAGATTTATCTTTTGAGTATTTCTAGCTCCTAACTTCACCTAGACTCCGTCCTTAATCCTAACAAGTGGTATCAGAGCGATATTAAGGACATTAAGAGGAGTCTACAGAAGTTTTAAGACCCTTCTAGACCCACCATGGCCTGCGGGTATGCCTAAGTGGTGTTCTAAAGGTTGGATATGACTTCCGCTAAGGGGAAACTCTGCCGAAATTTCGTGGACGCCGACACTTGTGAAAATATCAAGGGATCTGAGTGTGGACAGCAAAGGGGAGCTGGAATTAGTCATTTCTAAAGGAGAAGATGAATGAGAGAGGAGGAGATGCTAATGGAAGAGGAGCTGTACCTGAGAAGACAAGTGAGCCGCCACCATCGAAAGTTGAAGCTTTGGATGGCTCCAACTATGAAGAATGGAGCGGGTGGATGAGGAGTGCCTTCAAACGCTACAAGCTACTGAAGATTGCTGTTGGGGAGGAGAAGATGCCCGAGGAAGCGAAGCACGCGAACGGTGGATTGAGAAAAGCGCGGTGCTTTTCGACCTCATCCTTCAATCGGTCAACAAGGAGATGTTCGAGCACATCAAGGATCTTGTGGAAGCGGATGATTCGGGTCCAAGGGCGTGGAAACTACTACGCGATGTGATTCAGCCCAACACTCTCCCGATGGTGATCTTGCTCGAGAAGGAACTTGCTGCCATCTCCATGCGACCAAGGGGACGATGTGAAGCCGGTCCTTGACAAGATCAAGGACACCTATGCAAGGATGGCAGCAGCGGGCAGCAGTGTATCTCAGCTGCAGCAGTGCACCAAAATCATCTCGGTATTGGACAACTCTTGGGACAACCTCATCCCCACCCTCAACTCTCAGCAAGATCAATGGACACCTGAGTGGCTAAGGCAGCAGATTCTGCAGGAGGACTTCCGCAAACGCCATGTGGGAGGCGGTGCTGCCACTAAGACTGCTGAGGGGTATGGAGCTGCAGGGCGCGGCAGAGGAAGAGGGGGTTGGAGAGGCCGAGGCCGTGGGAGGAGCTTTGGCAGAGGTAGAGGCCGAGGTGACTATAATGAGGGGCATGGGAGCTCTGGTGGCAGGGGGAGTACAAGAATGGAGGGCACCTGCTGGTACTGCAAGAAGGTCGGGCATCCTTGGTTCAAGTGCTTCAGCAGGCCGGAGGGATGGGCACCTCCAGGCATGAAGCCGCCAGTGGTGAACGCGCACAAGGTGGCGCTGTGCAAGGCTCAGGTACACAAAGTGAAGGTGCACAAGGGAATGCCTATCCTGTGATATTTTTCATAGTTGAGGATGTGCATGGGCATGAGGGTGATGTGGGATCTGTGGGAAAGGTTGTGATGCACCCTCTCACGCACTGGGTGATTGATTCAGGTTGCACCAGTCACATGACCCCACGGGCAGATTTGCTTGATGAGGTCAAACCCCCTGGGAAGATTCAGTATGTAGCAGCAGCGTCAGGTGCTTTGCTCCCTGTGATTGGGATTGGGAATGCCAAGGTTAAGGGAGCTAATGGAGAGCTTGTGGGGCTTGGGAATGTTCTGCTGGTTGAAGGTTTGTCTGCTAACCTTCTCTCTGTGCGGCGACTGCAGAAGAGCAAGGCCGAAGTGACATTTGGACCAACCAGCTGCTGTGCTAAGCTTGGGAAGAAGGTGCTGTGGAGTCTGGAAGAGGAGACCAGCTGCATCAAGGACCTATGGCAGCTGCCCATCATCCCTTGGAATGGGAAGACTCCAACAGCAGCAACGGCAGCAGAAGAAAAGGCAACATCAGGAGGAGATGCAACTGCACCAACTGATGGGGTCCTGGAAGCTGTCAAGAAAGTGCAGCAGCAGCAGACACATGGTGAGGTGCTTGCTGGTGTGGATGCCAGTGCGGCACGGGCTAAGGCTTCATCAAGGAGTGGTGAGGCCAATTGGGAGACATGGCATGAGAGGCTGTGTCATGTGAACTTCCCTATGCTGCAGAAGTTGGTGAAGAATGGGAGCCTGAAAGGATTGGAGGTGAAGGGGGAAGGAGATTGGGAGCTGCCCTACATGCTTGGAGACCAAGTTCTCCAAGTTCCCCTTCAACAGCAGTACAGGACCAGCCAAGACCCCACTCGCACTTGTGCACATGGATGTGGTGGGGCCCTCAAGAGCCCCTTCCCTCTCAGGCAGCCGCTATTTCTTTACAATTGTGGATGACCACACTTGGGCAGTGTGGGTTTACCCTTTGAAGAGCAAGGGGGAGGTGGCAGCGGCTGTCCTTAAGTAGTGGATGCAAACACAAGGTGAATGTGATCCGCAGTGACAATGGTGGGGAGTTCATTGGAGCTGATTTTGAGGGGGAGTTGAAGAGGAAGGGGATCCAACATCAAATGACAGTGCCCTACAACCCGCAGCAGAATGGCGTGGCTGAGAGGTTCAACAGGACCCTGCAGGAGGGGGCACGCATTCTCCTTGGGCGTGCAGGGCTGCCTGATCCGTTTTGGGTGTCTGCATTGAGGCAGGTCGCCCTTGTGAAGAATAGGGTGCTGGCTACAGTTGGGGATAAGGAGTGGATCCCATATACCAAGTGGTATGGGAGTGCTCCAGCTGTGAACATGCTGAGGGCATTTGGGTGCATGGTGGTGTTTCATGTGCCCAAGGAGAAAAGGGAGAAGTTGGAGGCTTCTGGAAGATGGGGTGTGCACTTGGGCATTGCAAAGGATCACAAGGGGTGGCTGCTATGGGACTTGACCACCCAGAAGCTGACAGTGTCAAGGGATGTGAAGTTTCTTGAGTCCCTGTACTACAAGGAATGGAAGCAGCAGCAACAGAAGCTTCCATCTACACCGCAAATTGTGGAGACAGATGAGGTGCAACGGCCTTCTGTTAGAATTAAGGACGGAGTCTAGGTGAACTTAGGAGCTAGAATTACTCAAAATATAAATCCGAAATTCTGGACAGAAAAAGTCGTCTTCACAAGAAACGACGTCGACGAAAAACTAGCCGTTGGAATGTCGCGAAACTTCGAGATGTTGTAGCTCTTAATCTCAGCTACCGTTCCCAATTTGAATCACGTTGATTGATGAAGTATTCGCGACGCTATGGCTTTCGACGCACTAGGGGGTAAGCTGTAGGAGGAGAACTTAACTCAATCTCAAGAGTTCAATCAAAGTTCAAGAATCTCACAAGGAAAATTAGAGGAGCAAGAGAAAGGTTTGGATAGAAGAGAGGGATGAGAGGGAAGGTCCCAAGAGAGTCCCCAACCAAGGAAAACCCCATAAGCACAAAGATTCCCCCCCCTATAGGAACCCCAACTTTGACATTTGTCCCTTCCCAACCAATCCATCCAAGTTGGCCACCCTTGCCAACCTAGCTTGGTTGTTCCCAACCAATTTGCAGCTGTTACAGTAGAGTGACGAATTTCCCCAACCCCAAAGGTCCCAACTCCATTGTGAGTCACCCCACAACTTCACTTTGTAACCGCCGCAATTGTAACGCAAGCTCAAGAACTTTGAATCTTCATAGCTTTCGCGTTCTTGCTCCGATTGAAGAGATTCTTGTTGCGTCGGAAAGATCTTCTCAAGATCTATCATCACAAATACCTGCTCAAACAAAATAACACAGAACACATTCCCAAGCTCCAGAACACACCACGCACAAATTCTTTCACACACAGTCAAACCATACATGCGAATTGAAACGAGGGATGGGAGGCAGACAGAATGTGATAGCATATGATGACATCACACAACACCTTCAAGACAGGTGGAGGTTGCAGTGTTTGAGGAGGAGATGTCTGGGGTGACTGAGGAAGGGGGAGCAGCTGAAGTGGAGCAGCAGCAGCAACATGAGTCTCCACCTCGAGTTCCACACCTGCCTGAGCGACCTAGGAGGGATGTGCGCCCTCCGGTGAGGCTGACCTATGGGGGAAGAGGCAAGCCGAATGTGGTGCAGGCTGGGAGTGTGGTTGAGCAAATTGAGGAAGATGAGATCGCTCACTGTTACTGGGCACCAATCCCTGAGCCCAAGACTCGAGAAGAGGCCTTGAATGGACCAAATGGGGAGAAGTGGAAGGCGAGCGAGGATGAGGAGTTCGGGTCCCTGATTGAGAACGAGACATGGGACCTGTGTGACTTGCCTCCTGCGAAGAAGGCAATCACTTCCAAGATGATCTACAGGTACAAGTATGGACCTGAAGGGGAGCTGATCCGCTACAAGTCTAGGCTTGTGGCACAGGGGTTTCAGCAGACAAAGGGGAAGGACTATGATGAGGTGTTTGCTCCTGTGGGGAAAGGAACAACACTGAGGGTGCTATTGGCGATAGCTGCACTCCTGGGATGGAAGATTCGGCAGATGGACATTGTGACTGCCTTTCTAAATGGGATCATTCTGGAGGAGGTGTAGACGAAGCAGCCAGAGGGGCTGGATGATGGGAGTAGCAGGGTTTGCAGGCTGAAGAAGGCCATCTATGGCCTTAAGCAGGCGCCTCGTGCATGGTATCACAAGTTGGAGGAGGCGCTGTTGGCTGGGGGTTTCAAGAAGAGTGAGTATGAACCCAGCCTGTTCCTGCTGCAGGAGAAGGATGAAATCCTCATGCTCTTGGTGTATGTGGATGATATCCTTCTCTTCTCTGCATCAACAGCTTTGCTGGACAGCGCAGAGCAGATGCTGGAGATGCAGTTCAAGTGCTCCAAGATGGTTGAGGTAAAGTACTACTTGGGGATGCATGTGGAGAGAGATGTGGAGAAGGGTGTGCAAGAGGAAGTACTGTGAGGGGCTGGCTGAGAAGTATGGGCTGCAAGATGGGGAAAAGCCAGCAACACCACTACCTTCGGGGTTTACTGTGGAGCCATGTGCTGATGAGGAGGTAGTGGGTGAGAGTGACAGGAAGCTGTTTCATTCGATGGTTGGGTGGCTGAATTATGCTGCAAATCATAGACGGCCTGACATTGCATTTGCTACATCACGGTTGGCTAGTGTGGTTTCACATCCCAGTCATGAAAAGCTGGAAGCGGCCAAGAGGTTGGTCCGCTATGTGAGTGCTACGGCATCAGTGGGATTGGAGTACAGTGGAGTGAGGCATCGGTTGCAGAGAGGTGCTGCAGATGTGAAGAGTGGTGAGATGCTCTTGAGTTGCTATACTGACGCTAGCTTCAACTCAGTGAAAGCGGATGGCACCAGCATTGGGGGTTATGTATGCTTGCTGGGAGGTGGTGCTGTGAGTTGGCGCAGCAAGAAGCAGAATGAGGTGGGATTGTCCTCATGTGAGACTGAGTACATGGCCTTACACCATGGGGCCAAGGAAGTGGTGTGGCTGAGGCGCTTGTTGGAGGAGTTGGGAGTTGGTCAGAAGGAGCCGACGGTGATCTTCTGTGACAATGAAACTGCAGTGAATCTGGCCAAGAATGCTTGTCTGCATGGGCTGACAAAACACATAAGACCAAAGTGGCATTGGGTGAGGAGACTCCTTGATAAGGAGGTGCAGCTGGAGATAGTGAAGACCCATCAGCAGGCAGCAGATATTTTCATTGCAGGAGAGTAGGGCATCGTGAGAGAGTGCCTTATGGCCTGCTTCTTCAGCCAAGTTGAGAAGTCCTTGCTCAGGAACTCTCCCCCACGGTCAGTGCGAATCGCCTTCACAAGCCAGTCTTGTTGCCGCTCCACCATCGGCAACCAATCGGTCTTCACCGTTTCAGCTACATCACTCTTCTTGGGCAGCACATACACCCAAGTCATGCAAGTGTAGACGTCTACAATGGTGAGGAAGGACTCAGCTCCAGAAGCTCCAAGCTTCAAGGGGCCCACCAGATCCATCACCACCTCATCAAGTGGTGCCTTCGCCGCTGTCTCCGAGCCATGGAACGGGTAGCGGGTGAACTTGGCTTGCATGCATGTTGGACTGCCAAGCACCTCATTAAGCTCCCCCTTGACACGTATCCCACTGACCATCTCTTGCTTAACTATCTGCTGCAAAATGGGCAATGCCACATGCCCCATTCACCGATGCAAGGTCAGCCAATCACACTCTCCAGTAGCGGAAGTCGGGTTGGAGAAAGCGGCACTCGCAATTGTGCCCCACAAGCTCTCTCCTTTCTCCTTTGCCGTTGCTGCTTTGCTGATCTTAGCCTTCCCCTGCTCTTTTCCACCTTCTTTGGCTGCTGCACCACTCTCCTTGGGTTCACACGCCTTGCTAGTCTCTCCAAGATTGCACTCCTTTGAGTCACTCTTGGTGTCACTTTGTTTTCCGTGATCACCGCCACCAACCGCTTCACGCTTGGTGCTGACGCTTGCTGCCACTTGCCTCTCCTTAGGCGTGGGGACCACTGGGATTTGCCACATCTCATTGTAGATGTCCCTGTCCTCATGAAGGTCCCAAAGCTTCCGCTCACCAAGCCTCGCGGTATAGGTTTTGGATCCCTTGGAAGATGTATCCATGCCGGCCTTTTGCAAACGCCGCACAGAAATCAGGTTGGCTGCAAGGTTGGGCACCCAAAGCACGTTCTTGAGGCCCACCATCTTTCCATCAGCACCCTTGAACATGGCCTTGCCCATGGATTTCACCTCTGCTCGCTGCCCCAAAGCTGATGTAACATGCTTGACCAGCGACGGTTTGAGTTCGGTGAGCAAGTCCGCACGAGGTGTCATGCTATACGTGGCGCCGCTATCGATCACCCAAAAGTCCAGAGAGTGAAGGGTGACCTTTTCCACAGTAGCTGGCTCCTCAAAGCCTTCCACACCACCTGCTGCAGCTGCCGCTTGCGTGGAGACAAAGAAGAATTGGCCCGGGTATCGATGTTCACTCGAGTCCTTGTCATAGTCTCTACCTTTCATGCTTGCCGCTTCGCTTCCACGATCACCACGGCCTCCAAGACCTCTGCCTCTTCCTCCCCTTGCTCCTCTTCCCTCTTGGCCTTGAGAAGGGGTCCAGCCATCAGGCAATCTGAAGCAATCTCTCCACATGTGGCCGGTCTTGTGGAAAAATGGCATTCGCCATCAAATCGACCGCGCCCACGCCCGCAGCCATTGTTGTTGTTGTTGCTGCCATACCCTCTATTACCACGGCCTCCATTGAAGTAGCTGCTTCCAAATCTGCCTCCTAACCCTCTGCCCCTACCACGGCCGTGCCCACGGCCCATGCTTGCAACTCCGGCACCATCGGGACCCGCCAGTTCACGACGGCGGAAATCTTCACATCTTCAAGCGAGAGGCGGGGCAGATATCGATTTAGGTTGATGATGAGCGAGGACCATGAGTCCGGAAGTAAGGCCAGCAGGTTGGTCTTCTTTTGAAGGTCACTGTAGTTCAGCTCAGCTCCTTCGAGCCGTGTCAACAAGTCGAAGAATTTCTGCACTCCTTCTTCCACCGATTCGTCTTCGTCAATTCTAAGTGCCGCCATTTGCCGCTCCAAGACCACAGCCACCGCCGCTGTTGCAGGAGCGTGTACACCCTTGAGAGCAGCCCATGCCTTTGGTCCCTTAGCTGGTTCACGCTAAAAAGGCTTGATGTGAAGGATTTGGTTGCTCCCTAACGCTTGCCCAAGTAGAAGATAGCCTTGTGCGCTCTTCCGCACCCACGGGCTCTTCTCCGGGTCGTTCTCGGGGCGCTTCTCCGTTCCTTCCATCACCTCCAGCAGATCATAGTGGTCTAGGATGTTCTCCATCTTGAAGGACCACTCAGCAAAGTTGTCACCGTTGAACTTGTCAAGGCCAAACACTCTAGGCTCATCCCTAGAGGGTCCAAGGCTAGGTTGCACCGGAGCAACGGGTGGATCTTGGTGTTGACCTAGTGCTTGGGCGTCTTCTCTGCCTCCAGCGCCTCTGCCACCCCCTTCCTCAGTTCTAGGCATGGTCGAGACGGCTCCAAGGGGCTCTGATACCACTTGTTATAGTCACAATAGGCTCAAATGTGCCTAAAATGAGAGAAATTGTGCACAGTCACGATTCCATCAGACAGCTTCAAATATTGATGCCGATCTGATGTGTGCCTCAAACAGTGGTTTGTAAATTGTATTTGGAGCGTGTTGCTGTCTCCTATCAGCAGAAAGTTGAATCATAAAATTCCATGAATATTTGACGACGCTATGGCGGTTTGACTGGCAGGAGGTACAGCAGCCACTATAGTCTTAGGAGTTCAAAAAACTTAGGACGAAGAATTCGAGATGGAGATGGTTCCCAGCCTCTACATACCCCAAGAGCCGAGGTCCAGGTTGGTGGTACACCACCACAGAGTCCCCAACCATGAAGAGTCTCGAAACAGACCCTCCAAGGGGCTACACCAAGGGAAATGTAACACTACACGAAGTAGCGTTACTATTTAGTATTTATCCGTGTCCCTTGGGCTTGAAATCTTGAGCTCCTGGTCTTGGTTCTGCAAGATAAATTCTTCTTGAGTTGATGAGGGCTTGCTGCACACACCTGCGACGCGATGGACACTGCACACTCGACAAAATAGGAAAAACACATGCGACACGCAAACAACGACTTGACATGCGAGTTGTAAAAACTCGCTGATGTCTTGACCGACACAAACCACATTGTGATACACCATCCAAACACACACACAGGCACTAGATAGCAATGACATAGATTCACAATTCATTCCATGCCATGCATGCACACACACAAACAAGGACGACAAGCCGAGTGCAAGCCATAGGGTTGCACCAACAGTAAGCTCTCCCGCCCCGACGCGCGTGCTCCCCTCCCTAACGCCCCCACCATTGCTGAGCGTGAGGCCTTTTCCGCTGCTGCTTGCTCGCACTGTCTAAGAGTCGCGCGACGCCGTCGCGCAGCTTGCTATTAGTCACGCTCTCCCGTTGTCTGAGCGTCCCCGCTTTACGGCTGTCGCAAATGCAAAGGAGTGCTTAGATGCAGTCATCGCGCCCTATTCCACTCCTTCCTCTGCCTCTAACGGCCGCCTGATCCTCCCCATGCTATTCCCTGATCTTGCGTCCTTCCCCACTGTCGCTGATCTTGCCACTCATCTCCGCGCACTAGAGACTAGCTACGATGCTGCTAGCAATAAGGCCCATCTCACTGCATCTCCCCTCTGTGCTACCCTTGACCTCATTGCCAAGCGCCTTCCTGACTGCCTCGCCACTGCTCGCGACCACCTCCTTAGTCAGCACCCAGG